AGTAAGATGCTTCGCTCTAGACAGATTTTCAACTTAAGAGAGAGGAAGAGAAAGAGATACTTTGAAAAACTTTAACAAACAGACTAAAACCTCAGCTCCTTAAAAACCTTTGAGTATTTCAAATTAATACTCACTCGCATTAGCAAAGCTTAACCATTTACGAAGCTTTAAGTGTAAAATATTTTAAAAGTGAATTTCAAAAATACATCGACCAAACTCCATATCTAACGAGAAAAGTAAGTACCAGACATTCATCTTTGGCTTTTACGACTTAACAGCCCTTTTCTGTCCAGTTAAGCGTCTTTACATACATTTTCTCTTCGTTTGTGATGTCTGCAAAGGTGTACTTTGATCAGGGTTGGAGCGAAAGGAATGAAAAACCACCTTGATAATTTAGGCGTCCGGTCAGACACAACAGACGACATTTTGAACTAAATTCGATTCCCTCTGTCTACTCGGTAAAAAATGTTCGCCTTAGTCCTATCTCTTTAGATACATGAACAGAAGACAGCAGCACGACTCTGGGGACAGAACGAAACTTAGTAAGGACGGCAAGGGATAACACGTTGAATCCAAGATTAATACATAAATTAATCAGAGCGAAGTTTAAGGTCCATAACTAATATCTCATTGTCCACGAGGTAAAAAGTGAAGGCTCGATTTTCGCCGCTTTCTCGTGTCCAGCCTTCGCTCCTGGGTTCGGGGGAGGACATTCTCGAACAGCAGCTGGTAATCGAGCCTAAAAAAAGTGTTTCTTTACGATACCGTACTTAGAGTTTTTCCGTGATTCGCCCCTTCTCTAAATAGCAAGTGAGCAGGCTCCCACCATAAGCGCTTCGGGACTAGCGTTTCTTTGCCTGCGGGAAAGTATGAAGCCTTCAGCAACGCGAACCTGCAAGAGGTTCGCAAGAGGTCCAGCTGAAATTAGTGCCAGACCCTCGGCAAACCTCTCCCCGACTCATCTCAATCTTCCCGCGAGCGGGAAACACGTGTTCTGCAGATCCAACGAGGGACTGCTCGGATGCTGCGACTGAAAGAGCTCATAAAAACACAAGCTTTATTTTTTTTTTAATTCGTAAAAATTTATTTTCAATCCTCCTTCAGTTTCATAAATTAGTTAATTATTTTAAAACTCAAACAAGCGACCGCCATAGACGGCGTACCTCTAGATGAAAAATAAAATTTCCCTAAGGGAAAGAATGCTCTAAAGTGTTATCTATGATGGAGCTGAAATACGTTATATTTGTCGTTGCTGAAAGCCTTTTTAAAAGGCGCTGGATTGTCCATTAAAACGCTACAGCAGCTCGGTCGTGACCTGTTTTCTTCGTCTTCTAGGTCCCAAATGTCGACCATGCCACAGCCAGCTCTGCAGAAAAAAAAACATGTTAATGTTAATGTTAATTAATACATTGGTTTAATCATTTTTTAATTAATTTTAGAGCAAGAATTGAGAGTTGAAAAACCAAAACCCAAGTAATCTCAACGACCAATCAGAACAAAGGTTCATGTTATCATAAGCCAATGAGAACTCAGAATGAAAACAAGCAAACTGTTCAAACTGCCTGAAGCGCGGAAAAACGCGAATGACCGAGGCACGATTCTTTGAAGCTTTGTATCTGATTGGTTGAGAGGACTGCGCAAGTTTCTGGACCAATCACAGAGCAAAGTTGAGTAAATCCCGCATTACTTTCATCCCTACATTGAAAATTGCTCTTAGAAGGAAAGTTGGGATTGCATTGATTGCATTCGAAACAAATATATTTACTTCGGTCTTCCTCTGCACCACTGAATGTCAACAACCACATGGGTAACTTTCATGGAATTCAGAGTTTGCCAAACTACAGTTGGCGGCTTTCGGCTGAAAATCTGATACACTTTGTGAGTTCTCTCTCTACAAGAAATGAACGGAAGAAGATTGTGAGTTAAATTTGAAAGATTTAGTGGCCACATTTTGTGGAATTTACAAAATATATATTTTTGCTCTCAGGTTAATCCTAACCCTAACCCCCCCCTCCCCCACCCTGGATGGGATGCCACTCGATTGCAGGCAATCCATGGTAGTTCATCTGGTTTACCCAAAAGTTTACCGGATCCTATCGAGAATCCTAGTAGGGTAAAGGAACTGTGAAAATAAAGTGCCTTGCTGTAGAAAACAACACCTTGTTAACCCCATCACTCCCAAGATCTCATAAGTACTTAGTGTTTGCCAAAAAATTTTTTAAGAAGTTAGTTCGAAGAGTTTGGTATTAATTAGATCAACCAGTAATCCCCTAACTGATAGTTTTCTATATTCTCATTACTTGTCTGCTTGATATTGTATCGATAATGTAAGGAAAAATTTTTTTTTTTTTGAGTTACAGGGTAAAAACTGGTTTACGCTTTGAACAAGAAAGAAGGTCGATTTCGAGCTTGGTCATGATATAGGGGAAGATGTAATTGGTCTTGACACGAGCCTGGGACGAAGGAAAAGTATCTGTTCCCTAGGGGTGAACTGGACCCCAGACCCTCGGATTCCGCGCTCCGATACTCTACATATGAACCACATGGACACGTAAACTCGCAAATATGAACACATAAGTGGCCAAAGTTCAAGATGGAGACTTAAACCACTTGGGAGATTGAAATCGTTATTTAAGGTTAGAGCAGGTTACCTTATGCCAACGTCTTCATAGTGAGGATGGTTAACAATGGCTCGTCCGGTGCACAATTTGACGGTTGCCATGGTTGGCATGGCACCAGCAAAAACAGCAGCTACGTGAAGAAACAAATAGCATGGTCACATAGAGAAATTTCCATGAATTTGGGTCCGGCCACACTGAAAGAATAGGTCCTTGCCAGTGTAAATGGATGACGAGTGCTCGCGTTCGAGTTGCTCTGCATCGTCTCTTGAAAACCTTAAAGATTGGAGTTATTGTAAATTTTCGTCTGCAATATTCGGCGCTCAAGAATTCCGCGACACTGCATGACTACTTCATACACGAACAAAAAAAAACTCGTTTTATCCAAAGGGCAGGGTAAGTTCAACCCTTTTCGTTCAAGAACGGGAAGAACAGAAGGGTGGCAAATATCTGTCCACTTACGAGCGAACAGTTAAGAGATTTTGTATAAGGTGATTATTAATAAGTATATGCAGTCCGTACACTCCGTGAAGCTGTCTACGTTAAGCGTAGCGCTATCTTCATGTCAACTTCCCAGAAGAAACTAATTACTAAATCTGTAATTCTGTCAATAAGGGGCATCGAAAAATGGCCTTTGTATTGCACTCCCTAAGGAAGAAAGGTCGTAGTAACAGGTATTGAAGTACTGCATCATTCACAGAAACTGATACTGACGTTTTACCGAAATGTATTCCCGCTCTCCCGCCCCAGTCCCTGACTAAACAAACAAACACAAGACAGAAATCACAGAGTTAATCAGACTCATTTTACATGTATTTGTTACTCACTTTTGGGTGTCCTGGTGTTGATCCACTCAACCTGTAATGATATAATTCAAGATGTACAAACTCACCGACATCAAAAACAGCGCAATCGATTATGTAGAAAAATTTAAAGTGCAGATTACAGCTACTGCTTCTCCTCTTTAAGCACGTTGATTTGTTTAGTTTTTCGTCTTTTAATGCTAAAACAAAATTGGCGTTCAAATGCAACGATTTGGTTTTAGACGTTATTCACTGAATGACTTAGGCATACTCGGAGAAAAAAAAATTTGGAGGGCTCTTGACGGGAGTCGAACCTACGACCTTCCAAGTGGTACTTCAGACGTTCTACCACTGCGCTATAGGAGACCGTCTCCTATAGCGCAGTGGTAGAACGTCACAAGGCTTGTGGCAGGCTAGGTCGTTTAACTATGTCCATGCTGACAAACTTCCTCCTTACTACTAGGATAGAAATGTCGAATATCATGCTTTTGCGCGATGATGCCGTTGATGAAGATGGTAAATGTGAAACGTGGTTAGTTAAGTGAAAGATGATGTTATTCGTTGAATAACAAAGGCATACTCGGAGAAAAAAAAAGTCAGAGTACTACTAAAAGGAGTCGAGATCAGTTATTTTTATACGGCTTTGTTAGTCTTTTTTAATGTCTACGCACTCAATTCTTATAGTTGATGATGGAATCATTTCCTAGTAACTGAGTGAGTAGAAGTCTTTACTTACCAGTGCCTCTTGTTCTGGGTTGTTGTACTCTCCCTGCGTCGCCTGAGTTAAAATAAAGAAACATCAACAATTTTTTACCGACTTCTTCCAACTGCAACGATTTCAAAAGAAATGCTGAACTTCTTTGACGTGATCAAGCATTGCATAACATCAGATCTTTGAACGAAAGGCGCGAAGAACAGTGTTATCTCAGTCGTATCTAATAATAGGCATAAAGTCTGTTGATCATCTGCCACCAGCCAATAACATTAACAGATACAATTTAGAAACCAGCCAAACATGCGCACTAATCGTTACACGAACACATTCATTCATGTTTAATCGGTAGAACTTTTGTGCGTAGTTTTTTTTTTTATCATCATGTTAAATTTTAAATCACATGAACTCATCATTTTATAAATGAGTATATAACTTTAACCTTTTGTAAATTTGAATAATTCAATAACCTATCCATCTATCTTTCTATCTATCACTGATTAAGTGGTAGAGTCTGTTAACCCTTTTACGCCTGAGGGTGATTAACATCTAACTTCTCCTCACAGTATCAACACTGAATCAAACATTAAGGTCAAGAGAATGAAGCAAATGATCGCCATCTAAAGAAGCCATTGATTTTTTAAACAAATTCTTCTTGTTAGCACCTTAAGAAGTGCATAGGGAACAGTTTGGAGAAAGAAACGCACAGAAACGACATCGCATCCAAACGCTGATTGCAGAAGTTTACGAAAAAACTTTCATAGGTTTATCACATACATGAAATAGTGTTAATAATAAATACTCACAAACTGAGTTTGTAGGTTCATGATTCCTTGAACAGACATGGCAGCAATCAGGACCACCACGGCTGCTTGGTGCTTCTGCTTGTCGCAAATAAAACCAAACAGCTAAAACAGAGGAAGACAAACTCAACGCTGTACATCTTTCCAACAGAGCATAAATTGCTTTGACTTATTTTGACGCGCGCTTCTCTCTTATTCAAAATCACGCATAGTAAAGGTGTTTATCAAACGGCTGACTGCGCTATAAGGCAAGATGAAGCGAGTCGTGGATTCCGATTGGCAACAAGAGTGGGCAATACGGGCTGATATTGCCTTCATTCTCTCTCAGAGAAATAAAAATTCCCTGTGTTAGTTATTATCGCCGGTTTAAATACCTTCGTCGTAACCTTTGGGACAACCCTTCGGTTACAAAAGATATACTTTGACAGTTTTTAAACCAATGGCATCGCAAAACAAGTGTTGAAGACAATCAAAACAGAAGGAAAACCATGATGATCTTCGTTAATTTCTTTTGCAATTCAATATCTTACTCTTTTTGCAAAAAGCTGACATTAAACCCACGTTTCATGCAAATACGATGGAATGAGTATGGAACACGCTTTATTGAACTATCGTCCTTAACAAGGCCAGGAGGTGATACATTTTCATCTTTCTTATAACGTTCCCTTGTTTAAAATGATTAGATAAGAAAAAAGCTAGCGGATATAAATTTGAATTACCTGTCTAGAGGCCAGAAGGGACGCCATGACACACAGAGCTGGGGTACCAAACAACTTCAATCGCATAATGATTATCGCCATGGCAACAAATGCCAGTGACTGCAGCACGTGATAGAGATGCTGAGAGAATGGGACCGGGGAAACGTAGTTAGGATTTTCTACTGGCAATGAGAGAGGGGGGCGGGGAGGGGGGGCAAATGAAAACCCCCAGGGTCGATCGAATACCAAGCAGACAAGTGATGAGAATAAAGAAAAATATCAACAAAGGGATTATCAGTTGATTCAGCAGTAAATTCTTGGAGTTGAAATCAAAAGAAATGTATGGAAGACGGTAAGGAGATCTTGGAAATGATATGCTTAGAAATAACACAGCAAGGCGAACAAGTTTCTATCCTTACCTCCGCGTGAGGTTTAAGATTCACTCCCTTCCTACAAAAAAATAAAACTTCAGTTAATAACCTCTTCTTTAACGTATGTTGATTATATAGCGGACCGCAAAAATAATACTCGAAACAACGCTTAAATATGTTTTAAAGACTTGTTGAACAAGTTTCAAAATCATTTTCTTTATAGAAGCTACTTACACCGACGTTTGTCATCTTCAAATTCAGTAAGTTGAAAATTCAAGTTAGTGACCACTTGAAACCAATGAAAAATGCTTAGAGAAGGTAAGTTTCTAAAGAAACTGTGGTGCTGCATCGATGGGAGAGTATAACCAGATAATTTAGTTTTATCAACGGAGATGATAATGTGAACTGGCCTTCCTAAAGAGTTTCTAACTTGACGTTTCGAGCGTTAGCCCTTTGTCATTCGCTCTGACGAAGGGCTAACGCTCGAAACGTCTGCTTTAGCAACTCTTTAGGGAGGCCAATTTTTATTATCAACTTCGTTAATAAAAACAAATTATCTTGTCGTGAAAAATTCTGTTTTTCAGTTCTCTGTTTATGATTTTAATTCAGTTAAACCAGGTTTAACTACACATGTTGTGTTGTTGTGAATAGGGTCTAACATTAGTGGTGTCTGTCTCGAAGAAAAAACTTTTCAGGAAGTCTTACTTGAAGTCATCTGTTTCCTCCTCATCCGATTCAGGGTCTGACATTTTAGCATTTTCTTTCTTGTCTTTTGTAGCCATCAAGGTATTCCACTCATTCTTCAGAATCTAAAACGGAGTTTAATGGACTTCTATCGTTATTGGAATGCGATTAATTACAACTGCTTCAAGAAAGGTTTTCGGAAAAAAAGCGTAAAAGCGCACGCGATAACCCCTAAAGGTATTGCGGGTAGCTTTTAGGTTACGACTACTTGACCTCAGGATATTAGAGAAATCTGAAGAAAACGTCATTGTAAGGATGATGAATTTATCTATTTCTTTGCCTTATTAAAAATCATTGATTACCGGATACCCTGATTAGCTTTCGAGATTGTCATGTACACTTTTTTCCTTTTTTCTGACAACAACCTTTCTGGAAACAGCTCTATACAAATGACCTTATTGATAAAAAACACTTAGATATAGTGACATGAAACTTTACAAACATCATTTTAAATCATGAGCTTACATAATGCTTCGTGAGCAAAACTGCATCGTAAAATTATTTGTTCATAAAATTGGATTTCACTCACAAGCAAGATTTTAAAGAAAGACCCTTTTTAATAGAAGAATTTCTCAAGGACAACCTTTTTTGGTGTAAATGAATTGAAGACCCTGGTCAAGTAGACTGTGACGGATTTCAAGGAAACTCTGCTTCGGCAAATTAATAAATCGATGAGAAAATCTCTATGCAGCGTACAAGTTTCCCTTCAAAGTAACCTTCCCAAGGAAAACTTGTGTGGATCAGTACCACTTAATGTTACAAATTGTTGCTACAATATTGTGCAAATTTTTTTACTTTTTACCTTCAGTAAAATAGCTGTAAAAGATACAATTGCAGCTGGTAACAGCAACGTCTTGGTCAACTTTGTCGGATTCTATTTGGAAAAATTATGAAACATATGATTTGGATAAAGCTCTCTCTAAAAGGGTGAGGTCCCCGTCTGGAAGATCGAGTTTCTGACAAAAAGAGCGTGTCGCCCATTACGTGCCGTGGAACAAACGAAGGCAAACTCAAACAATGAGATATCAGTGTAGTCTTCCTTTTCGGTGACATTGAACGGATTACCCATTGTTAACGACATTAACAACGCTTTTCAAACTCTTAAAACATTTCTTAGTTACAATTCATGGTACAGAGTACAAAAACGCACGTCAAATAAAGTTATTGAAGTAAAACACTTGAAAGAGAGTGGAATTGTCCCTGCTCTCTAATTTCGGAAGGAATAAGATCACAGCTCACGGTAACAAAGTCTGGTTTAAGACGGTCGTCTAAACAATGTGAATAAAGCAAAAGCAAAGTGACTTATGGTGTAAATGTAGTGCGGAGACTAATTCAAACGATCTCGGCCATATGTCCACTCTGGAATACATATATGTAATGTTGAAGTTTAAGACTACAATCAAGGTGAATGAAGAGTACACATGTCAAAATTGATGAATCTGCTGCACGGAGCTTCTCTCTAATTGGAGAAAATTGACTGATTTTTCACAGATGAAAAATTCTTCACCTCACAAAGAACAAGAGATCACCAACCTCTGGATCTAAAAAGTCGAATTCTGGTGCACACGTGTACAAAGCCGTGTCAAAATTCCTGAAGCTGGAGAACTTGGAACGTAAAATACTTGTGATGTGTGCCTGAGAATGAAGGTAAACGAAGAAACAATAAAACAGTGATAAAGTACAATTAGAAACTATGGGGAATTTTTAAAAGTATCTTCCCTTTACCACCCCAACATCAGTATGCATATTCTCCATACTGTTCTCTACACATTTCCTAAGTTGCTGACAAGGAGAATTTGTTTGACAATTAGAAGCTTTTTAATTATGCGATGATTTCCTTTTGTCTCATTACCTACACATTTGATTCAGGGGTGATACTGTGAGGAGAAAAGCACTGAGAAGACAGACACTCCTGAGGGTTAAGGGTTAAGTTCTCTATTTAAGGAATTCTTCCGCAGTAGTATGAAAAGTCGTTCACTGAGGAGAAATCACTGTTAACAGGGAGTGTACCCCCTGATCGCTGATGTTTCGAAAGATGCACCACATATAACTTATTTACCCGCACAAGCGCTACTGTGCTCATTAACAAGAGAGGTATTTTATCTTAACTTATTCCGGCATAACTCGAAGAAATTTGAAGAGAGCAGTGCTATTTCATTTGGAATACGCAAATTAAAGAGACTAAAATATTTTACATCATCTGCAATTCCCAGGATCTTTGCTATGGCGATCTTGATTCCTACAGATCCAGTAAGGAAGATGACAGCCTGGGCAGCCTGTGACATATCATTAATCAGTTCTCAACAACAACAAAAAATGATAAACTGCAACTGCTTTTAAGATTGTCTGTAAGACACGTTTCTCTTTTTATTTAATAAGTTTATGGTAAACTGCTGTATTATGGTGATGTTCATGTAGAAACCTACAGATAAAAGAGTAAAGAAACTACAGAAGCTAAGAGTGCTGAGTAATGTGGTGTAATTTTTTTTTTGCTGTCGCTGTTCGTGTTTAGTACAGTCGCTGTAACTCGTTTTTTCCTTAGCATCTGCTAAGCAGGCTATACAAAGGTAATATCAAGTGTGCCTCATGTCTACTTCATAAATAAGGGCTTGAAGCTCGCGTTTACGCTCAAGAACATTTCCTTAGAAGTTCAATCACAGATCACACTTTTTTTTTTTTCACCTACCCATATAACAAGCTGATGGGGCAGTTGGTAAATAAACGGCTCAAGATTGGCAATGATCTGTGTTGTAATAAAAATTAAACAGAACAAAATGAAAAAAAAATTACTGTGTAACTGTCCATCAATAAATAAAAACGAAGAACACACTTTGGAGGGTACATATTGCGAGTCTATAACAGCCTACTAAAGCACAAAGGAGTAAATTCTACATCCACGAGACATGATACTCCATCGCAAGTCGCTCCTTCCCCCCCACCCCTCCCTCAGAAAAATGTGAAGTTTTCATGAAAGTTCGACGGTATCTACTTATACTTAGAGCGGCTGACACCTTATCTCCCATAATCATCGTCGTCTTTACTCGATTGAACAGCGATTGATGGCGTTTCTGACAATTAAGCGTTTCGAATGCAGCGTTTATCCACGAACGGGTTTTATTCAAATCGAGGGCGTGTACTTCAGAATCAAATTTCTTGAACACCGAATATTAGAGATCATTTCTAACTATTATCTACAACAGAAGCACGTCTAAGGTTCCAAAGTCTCGCTTTTTCGCCGGAATAGAATCGAATTTGTCTTCCTTGTGATAGGCAAAATTTAGATGATGCAAATTACCGATAAGTACCGTAATTGTAATGCTTTTATCGTTATCCTCGAATAAACGCTACATGTTTCTGATTGGAAGCGCCGTATATTCTTGGGCAGCTTTTATAAGGACATGTAGCTTCTCTTCCACCTGCATCGCTTATTTGTGGGCGGCATTACACCGGGCAAAAACAGCTTACGGTCATTTATTGTATAAAGAGAGAAGATTCACTTTAATCAGTGCACTTTTGTTCTCAAAAAATTCTGAACATACTTACCAAAGTTGTGATGAGGGCCGACAAGAAGAATGAGCTGATGGTTTAAAAATATAGCTTCGATCAGTTTCAAAGAAAAACAAATGATACAACGACCACTAAAACACAATTGAAATTCCATAAAAAGGCATTCGTTTCTAGGCGGTGTCAGACTCTCAACCAGAGGAGACGAGCGAACATTTGGGGCGCGCAAAAACTGTCGCTCATAAAACAAGCGGAAGTAAAGAAAAATTGCAACGCAACTGTCTCGTTGATGGCCACAACCTCCGCGTCCTCTTGTTTGCCATCTTTCGCGCACCCTTCTTTTCGCTCGTCTACATTTACTAAGATCCTACCAAGCTGAGTCACCTGATGAAACTCTACTTTAAAATTGAAAACTAACGTTCAGGAAGTCTCTCCTCTATAGTGTTTACATTTCTATGTACTGTAGTGGTGAGAATATGTAGTTTTATCAAGAAAGCACCCTACTGTTGATAATTCTCGTTTTCTCATCACCTGTCTATGCGACAACGTACTTAAATTGTAGGAAGAAGTTTTATGTTTATCACTCCTCTGAGACGAAAACCAAACTGCATACCTCAGAAGCATGGAGTTTCCAAACTGAATCACAAAATTTAATAAATGTCCCACCTGCATATAATAGATAAGGAACAGTTTTGAATTAATTTCGTCCCTAAACTTGACACTAATTTAAATCTTTTTTGTGTTGTTGTTCATTGAGAACGGATAGACTATGAACTACCAAACTGACACACAGTAATTGATAAACTAATGGATGTACCAAAAATGAAGAAATTACATACCAGCAATCCATATAACACAATGCACAGTTTACAGGAAGTGATAAACTTAAGAAAGTACAGTCCAAACAAGGCACAAGTCTGCAACAAAATACAGTTTTCTCCTTTAAATACACTTGTCACAATATTGAATAAGTAATTGAATGTACAATCTAAAAAGTTTGTTCCTTTCTGCAATGTTCTTCACGCTCACTTTAAACAAAGAATTAAAAAATGGATAAAAAAAACTTCCCTCAAATGCTCTCCCTGATGATGCCGCAGAACGGCGAAAGCTCGGAGTAAATAAAGTAAGAAAGAACCACAGTAGCACTTAAAGGCTTCATTCGATCAATATCCCACATCATTACGACATGCTATTAAAGGACACGTTCAAACGTTCAGTTCTTTGAGTTTGTTGAACCCAGTGAGAAGCTAAAGCTATAAAATTTCTAGTAAGCCTTGGATCATAATTAGATGCACATTTTATGGGCATCTCCACAAGGTTTTCCACCCCTAAGGACAGCCAAAAAATCATGAAGACCTAAGACTCCACCACCTTTTACCATGAGTATGTACAAGAATCTTTCACTACTATGTGTACTACTGCAATTACCCACCTGTGTTAGCAGTGCAAACTGAGCAAACTGGAAAAAAAGGAGAGAGAACTTTCTTTATCAATAATCAAATAATCAAAACGGATAGTAAATAAGTTTAAGAGAAAAGAGGACAAAATTATTTTAAATCAATTCATGAAAAAGTATGAAATAAAACGATATGCATGTCCTGCTTTGATCAAAAGAAAACAGTTTTATTCTTTTTCAAATTTTAAGGAAGAAAAACCTCTAAAAATTTGTCATCTACCAACAGGTGTTATTGGTAACTAATAAGTTCACATTAAAAACCCATTTTTCATTAACTAGAGTACATGTACGAGGGTATCAGTTATTTCATAAAAATATATCAAACATCAAACCTTTCACTAACACTGGTGACTGCAAATAATTTATACTTACAAAATTATTATGTTACTGGCCATAAAGACAAAAATATCATTTAGGGGATATCATTTGATTTCATGTCATATTATCACTAACAGAATTACAGGGAATTTATTGATAACTGATCTTTAGATCATCAGAGTGAAAGTGTTGATTATACCCCCAATGATTAGCCTTACCTGCCATGGAATCATGAATAAGCTTGTTGTTATGGCAACTAATGATAGGTGTCTCCAGTCAGCCTTAGGTGACCTAACAAAAAATAAAAAAGAAAGACATGTAAATTCTGTGATAATATTTTATTACTGACATGTATAGGGGGCTTATTATCTGCATAATTTCTGGGTTTACTCACATAAACTAAGTCAAACTCAAACTGGTGGCAAACACAATTAAGAAGTGTCTTGCTAAATAAATTCAAAAGAATAAATTTCATTCCATTTTCCCTGCAGCAGGGCTTCATTTTCTCAGACTTGAGAGAGGTATAGTAGCACTTTGTTGTTCATTCATTTTATCATCATCATTACTCCAGTAAACTGTTCCTTCCTCTCCTTGTGGCATATGGGACTACAAGTGTTTTATCATTAGTCTACAATAAAAAGATCTACAACTGGTGACTTACTTAATTGTTAAGGTAACAGCCAGAAGTTGGAAGACAAGAAAAGGATATGAAAAGCTTTCTCGTAGGGGTGGTGTCCACATAACTCTGGTGCAC